CACAATTTAATTCTTTGTATTTTTAGCCAACACTGGGCAATTGGTACATAATCGAATAGAGTTGTTTAAACATTTGGCAAAATGGTTAGGATATTATGGCTAGTATTTTGATTGTATTAAAAATACGACTTTGTGATAACATTTTCTGGTTGTTATCCTTGATATATTTTCCCATTGTTTCTTCTATGTAGCTCGAACAGTCTGAACATTTAAATTCATAACTAACAATACAAATATGATTATCATCAAAATTTTTAGCTAAGAGAATATTAATTCTTTAACTTAAAAACAAAAATTATTTCTTATATATATATATATACATCATAAATGCTAATTACAGTTGGGCAAATAATTAACTAATCAAAATTAGTGTTTCCTGTTTTATATTTGAATTACGATTAAATTGATTGTCACAAAGATAATTAACTAATTACAATTAGTTTCTGATTATTCACTGTTCTCGATTATTCCCAGCAAGTAATTGAAATATTGTCGTTATGTTTGTTTCTTGTTACGCACAAAAAACTACATAATTTTGAACTGCTAACTAGAGGGAAGAAAACTGGTTGTTAGCACCCACAGCCTACTCTCTATACATACTTAAGTGTTAAATAAAGTGTAAATTTATTCTTTTAATATTATCTTATGTTTCTAATTCAAAGTTGGGTAACTATTTTTTAAAGTTGTATCTAGGGGAGTTTGACCTCTCTCTCCATTCATTCTTATCTCTCATAATTTACTAACTGTATTATTTAATGCTGTATAACCAGGCATGGATCTAGGAGGAGTCTAGGGAGGCCGCCCATTTCTTTCAGAAATTAATAACTATTATTTAATGTTGTAATAGCAGTCAAGAATCATGGTAGATGGGGTTCAAATGCCCTCAACCACTTCTTTCAGATATTAATAACTATTATTTAATGTCGTATAGACAGGTGAAGGTTTGAGGAGGGAGGGGCAATTGAACACCCCTATTTTTTTCTAGAAATAAATAAAAAACAGTAAGATGTCCCTACACTACCATATAGTATCAAAAACAAACATTACATGTCAGTGTTTTTGTTTGTTTGCACAATTAATTACCATAAAAGATTTTTGAAGTATTCTGAAATCAACACAGCTATTCAACTTTGGGCAAGATGGTGGGTAAAACAAAATATGTGGCTTAGCTAACTAATAAATGAATATTTGCTATAAAATTCTTATCAATGCTATAACTGTAGCTACCAGTTTGGCCACCAATTTTGATTTCATTCTGTTAAGTCGCACGGTCAATACTTTTTTGGCTGCACCTTTCTTTTCACATTTAAGGTGTTTTTGATTAGATATCATGGCTTTTTGTCAATACACACCAAATAAGAGAGTGACATTTGATAGCAGCTAACACTAGCTTTAGGATTGCAACCCAATTATTTGGAACAGACCTTTACTTTACAGAACCAACCAAATTCTTTAAAACATATGGTGGTAGTTTTTCCTCTCAAACAGTGTTAATAGCTTTCTTTATGCTAATGCCACGGAATTTAGATTAATAGTTTCTTGTCATTACCCCCCATGTAATCGGTACAGCTGTATCAAGCATCATTATTTATGCTAATTGCTTAAGCTAATATCATGTGACACTAAATGCTTTTTAATTAAGATAATTTCATAAAATGTAATAAATTTGTGGTGAAAAGTTGGCAACGGATAATCAATAATAAATGTCCACCTGTATGATTCTTTTGAAAACTCGAGCTAGAAACTGATAATCTACTTTGTTTGGCCTAACCAATACTATGTATCTGCACGTCCTATAGTTTTGCCGCTCTAAGTCAGCCACCTTAACTCAGAATGACAAAAAACTAAAAATGGTCCACTTTTACTCTTAGGTGAAGTTGTAAAAATGTTAGACCAATGGCTCACATGACTCTATGCGTATGCATGAGCAAAGATTTGTGAAATTTGAGTGGTTTTTGTTGAATAACTTTGCACATGTGGCTTATATTTACACAAAATGAGACTCCTAATTGTAAATTGAAATGATCTATCAATGTACCAAATTTGAAAAAACATCCATGAAAGTATGTTTTTCTATCAAATAAAGTTTTCGTACTTTTGGTGCAAAGAAAAAAAAACACGAGGAAGAAGAAACTCAATCAAAATTGAAGATGTTATATCTCAGGTATTTCTTAATAAACTGCCTTGAAATTTGGTATTTGAAGTAAGAGTCCAGTAGAGCACATCCACTGGAAAGTTGAAGGCAACATAAGCAACACTTTTTGTGGTTTTTAAAAGCACCTTTTCTGTCTGCTGTACAATATGGTGAAAATGTTGACTGAGCCATCCCTAACAGGGTGAATGAATGGGAAACAAGTAATTTATCAGTAATAATGAATCATTTATCGTTTGTCTGTGTAATTGAGATACTGATGTAATTAGATTGCTTTTTTTTTTTACCAGAAAATCAAGTAAGTAAATAGCAAGTCCTTGTGTGTTTCCTAATTCATTAAGTGAACTTATCTTAATTTCTTAGTTTTTTTATTTTCACACAGACTTACAAATGTGAGAAAAATTATGACTGAGCAACTAGGTAACCTACAGTTATACTGGCATCAATAGAGCCTTACATATTTTTATGACATTTTACTACAAAAGATACATTCTTCAGATCTACAACACCAATGTGTGTAGATCTGTTTTCATGGTTCTGAAGGGCAAACAGAAACCATGCTAGACTGAAGCTTTCAGCAAGTTGTGTTGGTCATTCGCTAGCAGAACTCTCATGATATCATGGTTGATACTTTAGTGTTATGTCGTAGATTTGGACAATCGACAGAAACAAACAATCTTACTAAACCCAAGATATCAAACCTGTATACTTCTTTCTTGTACTTCGACAACAGCAAAAGATGGTTCAGACTTTTCTGTGCCGTTGTTCTAACGTAAATATGACTTCAGGTGTCTCAACTAAGAAAACGACTATTCACAAGTTGCTATGGAAACAGGGTTTACACTGTACAATGTGGTCAGCAACATCATTTGTGGTACCATCTTAGGGCCTTCATCTTCATATCTTGTGGTCTCTTTCTTGGTTTTTGTAATTTTAATGGATTGGCATACGGTGAGTCTGCCACTTTGATTCCACAATTAGTGAAAGTAATGATTTTTGCCACACATTACCTATGCTTGTCTTTGTGAAATTGTGCAGGTTCAGACCCTCACCCTTTGAGATAGCCGAGCTTTGTATTTGTATGCTTAGGCAATCTGTAACTTCAACTTATGGAGAACAGATGTTTGTAATGTGTGTGACAAACAAAACCCCATAGATGTTGCTGCGTGATAAATTGTATTTAATATAAGATGTATGTATATACTTTACTAAGCATGATCATTACTTACTTGATAAATTCAAATAATACACATTTATTATGAATTACATGGAATTGCATTGAATGAGGACCTTATTATCTACACGCAAGGATACAGGCCTTTAGACTAAACTATGTCCGTGACCAATCTCCGTATCGGCTACCGATACAGATCCAAAAAATTCCCCAACGATTTTACAATCTGAATTTTAAGATCAGGGTTGGTAGGTTTGTTTACCTATGAAAATACGTAATACATTCAGGTGTCTTCACGATGAACAGAGCACAATGTATCCCAATATGAGGTCAATCACGGACAAACAAAAAGACATATTAGTGATCATCAGTTCCGATCATGCACCAATATATATATTAACTGCTTCTTAATTTTTTTTACAAAGATAAATATATTTTCAAGATACTTTTATTTACCATTAAATATCCTAGCATCACTCAAAAAGTGCCTTTATTTCTGGTATTCAGAACTATTACTAGGTTCAACTTTAA